GCATTTCAACATCCCCAATGGTAATTTTCTGGTCTGGGAAGTAAGTCTGTTCTTGCAGCTGCTCAAACAGCCTGGAGTTCCTAAAGATGCGAGCGTCATGCACCCATGTTGTTGTCGGTGAAATGTCCCTTGTGATCCACCAGTGCTTGCAGCACCATTGAGAAGTACCCCTTGCAGTTTACTTACTGGTTGGCAAGTTGGTCCGGTGCCAATATAGGGATATGTGTTCTGTCTATTGCCCCACCACAGTTAGGGAACCCCATTGCAGCAAAGCCATCCATTATGACCTGCACATTTCCCAGAGTCACTACCCTTGATAACAGAACATCAGTGATTGCATTGGCTACTTGGATCACAGTAGGTTTGCCCACTCCAAATTGATTCCCAACTGACTGGTAGCAGTCAGGCGTTGCAAGCTTCCACAGGGCTATCTCCACTCGCTTCTCAACTGTCAGGGCAGCTCTCATCTTGCTATTCCTGCACTTCAGGGCAGGGGAAAGCAACTCAAAGTTCAAGGAAAGTGGCCTTACGCATGCAAAAGTTTCGCAGCCACTGTGAATCATCCCATACCCGCAACACTATGCGGTCCCACCAGTCTGTGTTTGTTTGCCGGGCCCAGAATCGGCGTTCCACTGTATCAACCAGCCCCACTGCCGCCATGATGTCCCAATTGCCACAGCCCATGCTTTCAGGAATGTCTGTGTCCATGTCCTCCTAACAATCGTCTTCGTGCTAGCATCTCTTAGCCAGGTTCTGCACATACTGCAGTATAATGTGTGAGGTGTTTACAATGCTCACAACAGCAGCGGTGTTCCATGTTTGCCATGCTATGGCGTCTGCACGGCTAACCCAGGAAAAAAGGCGCGAAACGATTGTCTGCTGTTGCTTTCACTGAGGGATGAAGGGAGGTGAGACTGACGACATGTACCCAAAACCACCCGCGGCAATGTTTTTGCCCCATCAGGCATTGGGAGCTTAACCCAGAATTCCAATGGGCAGCGGAGACTATGGGAACTGTGGGATAGCTACCCACAGTGCACCGCTCCATGAGTCGATGCTAGCCATGGTATTGAGGATGCACTCCGCCGACTTAATGCGCTTAGTGGGGACGTACACAATCGACTGTATAAAATAGATTTCTAAAGATCTACTTCTATAAAATGGACCTAATTTCGTAGTGTAGACATACCTTAAGTCATTCTCACAAGAAAAGACTTGGGCCTCTAAGCTGCCTAACTCCAGGGGAGGTTTTCCCGGTGTGGATCACTAAGCAGAAATAGGTGCCTCTCTTCAGCCTAGGCTTACGTGCCTATCTCCAGGAGAGGGGTAGGGTTTAGGACAAACCCCTTTCCTCAGCATCTCCCATTGGCTAGTTTAGGCAGTACAAGTGTACTGGCTTGTATGGATTTCATTCTTAAGCACCTCTCTTTCCCCATTCATTGTACAAGGAGTCTAAGCACCTAACTCAGACTTCGTGGATTGCAATGTTGCCCCTGTGATTTTTCTAAGGGCCTAAAAGCTAGGCTTTGCAATGCTTAAGTACCCTTGTGGTACTGGGCCCTAGCTTTTTGGTGTAGGAGCTGTCAAATGTTATATATATGAAAGAGCCTGCATCTTAGTATGTGCCTCCATGCAGCATTGTTTTTTAAATAGTGACTTTACATTTGGGAGGTATTTGTGTAAAATTTTGGGAATATTTTAAGTGACAAATTGAGTGGTATTTTGGAAAATGTCTCTATATAGGTCAATATTTTAAAACTGAGCTGGAGCAATGTCACTTTTACTTAAGCAACAATGGGCCCAATCGTGCAGTTCTTCCACGTACTGCTCTCACAGAATCAAGGCCACTTTAATAGTACAGAATGTTTTTAAGGAGTATTATTAATATTTGTTATTTAACATTTATCTTATGGTAGCACCTATAGGCTGAGACATTCTGTTCAGGATACCCAGAACTGGAAGCCTCTCTGCTACCCCTATGCCTCAGCAAATGAGAGTTTAGCTGCTGCTAAGCTTTGTCAGCTCTCTGATACACCAGTCTGTCTGCTTCTTTTAGACTGTACCAATCTAAACCTTGCAGGTAACAATCAGTGAAACCTCAGTTCCTGAATTCCCCAGCGACGTCTCCCTCTCACCGGACATTCACAGAAATTATTAAGTTTGCTCTAAAGAGACAGAGCACTTATGGTAGAAAAGGTATTAGAAAGTACTCAAAATGACAGGTATTTCCCTTCTGGAAGTATTTGCAAAGCAAACAGTTTGCAATTCTGTTCAAAAATAGGATGGAAAAAGTCCCTTATTTAAGTGTGACCAGTATCCTGACACCCACCTTAAACTATCAATATAAAGCAGGAAATTATGATGAGACAAACCTTTAGGTGTGAAGTAAAAGAAGATTAGTGTGAAACCAAAGCAAGATATTACTATTCTCTAATTGTTATTTTAAAATACACACATTTGAGCAAGTTATTTTGACAAATCATTTATCAGTTTATATCACAAAGAAAGTGTGGTCCAGGACAGCTGCAAGGGACATCATTCCATCATGGAAATTAAATAAAAACCAGCCTGTTAGGTTAATTGAAGACTCACACTACACTTTAATATACAGCACTGACATGGTTTTGTAATAAAACAAGAATATGTTTGTGACAGGTTCGGTCACAGAGACCCATTTGGGACTGCCACCTGATGTGCTGAGCCTACCTCTGAGCCTGTTTTCTCTGCCAGTTTGAGCCAGACACGCCAGTCTGCTTCAACACAGACCCAGGGTCTGAACCACGCACTCCAAAGCTGCAGAATGAACTGAAAAGAGCTTAAGAAGTGCTCTTGTCTCTAGCACCCAGACACGCAACTCCCAATGGGATCCAAACCCCAAATAAATTTGGTTTACCCTGTATAAAGATTACACAGGGTAAACTCATAAATTGTCCGCCCTCTATAACACTGATAGAGAGATATGCACAGCTGTTTGCTCCCCCAGGTACTAATTACTTACTCTAGGTTCAATAAGAAACAAAAGTGATTTTATTAAGTGGTTCCAAGTAATAACAGACAGAACTAAGGCTACTTCTACACTACGGGGGTGTGTGGGGGGGGGAATCAATTTCAGATACCCAAATTCAGCTACAGGAATAGCGTAGCTGAATTCGACGTAGCTGATCCGACTTACCCCGCTGTGAGGATGGCGGTAAATCGACCGCTGCGGCTCCCCCGTCGACGGCGCTTACTCCTACCTGGGCTGGTGGAGTACGCGCGTCGATTCAGGGATCGATTATTGCGTCCCGACGAGACGCGATATATCGATCCCCGAGAGATCGATTTCTACCCGCCGATCCGGGCGGGTAGTGAAGACCAGCCCTAAGTAAGTTACCAAGCAAAATAAAATAAAACACACAAGTCTAAGCTTAATACATTAAGAAACTGATTACAGATGAAATCTCACCCTCAAAGATGTTCCCAAAAGCTTCTTTCACATACTGGACTCCGTCCTAGTCTGGGTCCAGCAATCACTTGCACCCCCGTAGTTACTGTTCTTTGTTCCAGTTTCTTTCAGGCATCTCTTGGGGGTGGAGAGGCCATCTCTTGAGCCAGCTGAAGACAAAATGGAGAGGCTTCCGGGGCCTTTTATATTCTCTCTCTTGTTGGTGGAAACCCCTTTGTTCTTCTGTGCAATGTCACAGGAACAAGATGGAGTTTGTAGTCACCTGAGCAAGTCACATGTCCAGGCTTGGTGCAGTCACTGCCTCCCAAACACACTTTAAGAACATATTTCCAGCACACACATACAACCCATAGAAACATCCCACAATAATTTTCAGGACCAGTGCATCATCAGTTTACATATGATTCCTTCCATGACACCTTTAGGTACATATTATAACAGCAGTGTGTTGGCCCTCTGCCAGTGAGCATTGAGGGGCTCTTAGGATCACACAGGCCTTAACCAAATAGGGCCCCTTTGTGCTAGGCTCTGTACAAACAAATAGCTAATGACAGTCCCTACCCCAAAGAGCTTGCAGTCTGAAAGACAAATATAACAACATGTGGATGGAACAAACAAGTCCAGGGAACACATAAGGGGAGAAATGGGGTAACAAAAACTTTGTGTTTTAGCACAGATTAGCTGTGTGCATAATTCTTAGCCAATCAATAGCAGTATATATAATTGTTCACCTTGCTTTACTGTTATCAGATGGCACTTTTCTATATGGTCTGTTGCTTCTTTATAACTATCACAGCAAAGCCGGAAGTTTTATTTTTAAAACAAGAGACATTGGTCTTGGGAAAATATTTTGTTACAATTTATTTCTGTTATTTACATTCTTTTGGTAGGTAATTAATGTATTTGATGGATGTTGCTGCAGTGACCGTTGCTTGCTGTGTCATCATCAGTGACCCGCTTCATTCTGATTGCCTTAGAGAACAGATCTGGTCTGTGTTTCAGCCAGAGATCAGCTGTTCATACTTCCACTATACCTTGCTGTTAATGAGATGGTTTCCCACAGTTTTTTAAAAACTTTTATCATTAGTGAAGGGTTAGTACACACTGTGTAGTAAAATTCAAACAATGGTGACATACAGAAGTGTTCATAAGAACTCTAAGGCTCTAGTACAACTTTTATGCAGTAGTCGGCTGCAAGCAAAATTATGCCTCATAAAGGCATAGCCATACAGAGAATGAGAGGAGTAGATGCAACACCTGAGCAAGAGTAACTTTGTAAGGCATAATGTATCCAGAGGTGCTGTGAGGAGTGCATTGTGCAACTACTTTTACTATGGTGTTAGTATTGCATCATACCTCCCTATTCTGCCCAGACATATACCATCCGCTGGCAATAACTAACTAGCTGTGCTACCTCAGACCCCTTAACTACAGAGAAGTTGGAAGGAGAGGCCCCTTGTTCCTATGCTCTTTTTTAGTGCAGCCATAATTTAGTCCTGAGTGGTCTTCCAGGATATAGCAAACTGAACTCACTGTTACTCTTTCTATTTTCCAGGATGTATATTGTGTTCGAGCTCTTGTTTGGAACACAGTGAAAGAAAAGAAGAGAGCGCTTTTTGATTTAAACTGTAGCCAGAAGCTAAAGCCATCTCATATTTCCACTTTGATCATAAAGGGAATTATTAAAAATTCTCTTATGGCAACAGAGGGTACACAGTCTTTAGTGAAGAATAAAGATCATGAAAAGGTAAATGACATCTGGTTTAACTTATCTGTCTCATACTGTGTTTAAAAAAAAAAAAAAAAAGACTGTGGCTCAGACATGGGACCGAAATCAGCCGTGATGTAAGCAGGTGTAGCTTTTATTGCTGTCAGTGCTAATTCTGAGGCTGAATTTGGTCCCACGTAGTTTTGGTTACAGATTTTGCACTTGATCTGACCTCTCTCTGATATCAAGGACTTTTTCATATTGTTGACTGCTTAAGATAGAGCATCGCCCTTCCCACCTTTCAGTCCTGATTCTGCCTCTTCTCTGCAGTAGCTACTACTACTTGGTTCTAAAAAACAAACAAACCCTACCAAAAATGAAATGCTCCACTATCCACACATATTCTTTCCCCAGGGAGAAGATGAGAGAACAAACAACATGTGACAGATATTAATTATGTCACTTAATGCATTAGTAGAAGATACTGCAACAGGGAGCCATGGTATAAGAACTGACATAGAACAGAACAGTTATATAAAAAGGAAATATATAATCACTGCTGAGTGGGATATATTGAATTCTCATTCCTGGCCCCACCACTTTTCTGGGCAGCACCATCCACTTTTTGAACTGCACTTTACTTACTATGGTGTTGTAATATGGGGTCTTTGTCTGTTAGTGCTCCCTTGTGGCAAAATGAGGAGCTACACCAACCTGGCTCCATACCCCTTATGCCACCACACCCAATTCCATGTTTGTCAAGTCCTTGTTATGACTCAACCCCTTCTGGCTGGGTTCTCAGTAGTCTGTCCCCTTCAGAATGGTAGGGAATTAGAAATTCCATGGCTCTAGAAGGGGTTAATCAGCCCTAGGTCTCCTGGCTTTAACTTTAGGGCTGTCTCCAAAAGTTACTGGCTGGAATAGGTAGAGGAACCCAGGCTCAGGGTTCCGGCTCAGGGTCCTTGTTTGGAACATCCGGAACCAGTCCTTCTCAGTCCCTTGCTGCTACCTGAACTGCTTCCTACCTCTCCTCCTCTGTAGGCTTCCTCAGCCTCTTGTTCTGCATCGCCTTCTTTGGAGTGTTGGCTTCTCAGACAGTTTTTCACAGTCTACTGGAGAGATTGTCTCGGCAGTCCCACTGCCTCTCTAGAAGCCACCCCTCTTACTTTGCAGCCCTTTTGTCCTTACAGCTGCTGTGGGACTGTTAGTCAGCTCTGGCTGAGCAGGCAGGTGCTTTGTTACCTTTTGACTGCTGAACCAGGATGGGGTCTACAGACACCATGACAGGTGTCCTTGGCTGACAAGAGATTATAGGTTTTTTCACTGGCACGACCATCTCAAAAAGAAGAAGGAAGCCATTGTTGATCCTGTGGTGAATGTAGCTCTTCAAAGGAGATTTTTTTCTTTCTTAAATTCTGAAGCGGATAGGAAATCAGTGATCATTTGCAGGATGCATTGGTGTGATGAGTCACTACCTTTTGAACTGATTAAACTCTGGAAAGTTGGGATTTAGAGAGAACATAAAAGATTAAATGATACTAGGCAAAGGGAGATAAAAACTTGAATATGAGTTTTTTTCCAAGGAGTGGTCAAAATATTTTCTGTTGTGGAAGTCGTTTCAGAGGAGATGGGAGGAATACTTACAGAGTTAGGAAAGGTGGAAGATAAGAGGACTGAGGATGAATCTAAGTTCCTAAGAACTGGGGGTGAGTCTTGATTTTTGAAGAGGAGCAAAATGACAGAGACTGTTCTTATAGAGAATTTGTGGAGTATAAATATTTGAAATGTTGAATAGAAGTAAATTATAATGGAACAAAGAAATGATGAGGTTAATACAGGCTGATAGTAAACAGCCAAAGCAGTAAAAGGGATCTGCAGTTGAATGTTATCTGCATAGAAGTGATATTCAAATTTGAATTCAGAAAACAGTTGAACAATGGAAAGGAGATATCAAAGAGGAGACCAGGAGATGAATACTGGACTATTTATAAAAGGAGGGGGGAGGAAAGCATAGAAAATGTAATATATTTTTAAAATGCATTGCATTGAAAATGGGTAACATTTTTATATGTAGACTTACATTTACTGAGCATGATATGTGCAATGTAACTCATTTAGCAAAATAGCATTAAAGGAATGTTAAAGATATGTGCTCAAGCCCACAAAGTAAAGGAAATGATCTGTTAAGTATCAAACATGTCAGTTCCATCACAGCATACCACATTAAGAGAAGTGCTCTTATTTGATTTGATAGTTGAGGATTAACCCTCTGCTGATTCCCCCCCCCCCCCATTTCTTTAGCATTCTTAGGGCAGAACCCTAGTTTTCTTTCACTATAATTTGTACTAGGTGTAAATTCTTTGGATGACGCACTGTGTAAATCTGTTTGTTTTAGTTTAGAAATTGAAGTTGGGTCTGTATCCAAATCACAGGATAACATTTTCAGAAGTGCCTAAGACACTTATATGCAGTGTTGTTATAGCTGTGTTGCTCCTACAATATTGCCTACTCCAAGAGATCAAAAATCATGAGTCAGACCCCCCCAAAATCATGTGATTGGCCCAAAAATCATGACATTTTTAAAAAAAGAATGATATTGTGTTTTTTAGGTCAGTCTCTTGATTTTTGAACTCCCCCTGTCCATCCCCAGGGCATGTGCATGTGACAGTGTTGCCCACTCTCCCACATGTGCTGGATAAGGTGATTTTTGGCTCCTGCTGCAGGAGTTCTCCTTTCCCCCCCCATATCTCCCATCTCCCGTCCAGCAATTAATCCTGTCTCCCAGTCCCCCATTAATTCTCTTTCCACCCAACCCCACTCAATTCGACCCCCCCAGTTCAGTCCCCCAGTCCCTGTCATCACCACCCCGTCAGTTCAGCCGGCCTACCCCATCGACCCCCACTGCCCTCAGTTCACCCTCCCAGCACTCACCTCATCTGCTCGGAACCAGCCATCAATACAGCCTACCCACTCTGTCAGCACTCACCTTTCTGCAGCCCCTCTGCAGCCTTAAGCCTCACTTTTATAACTCTCAAATGTCAGGATTTTTTTTTCGTTTGATTCCATGGCTTAATGGAATCTCCCTCCTTCTGTCTCAGATGAAGTTTCTCTTCCCTGCTGGGGTGTAGCAACAATGTCTCATGTTAGCTTGATAGCTTTGTTTATCTGATATGTAAATTAATTCTCATTGTCTTTCAAAGTACTTTGGAAGGAGAAACCACATTCTTCTTCCAGTGCTTGCTCATGTCCATTCCAATCAGGTGTGCGTGTGCTGTCTGCACAGTCGTGGGAAGGTTTTTCCCCTAGCAGCACCCGTCGGGTTGGCTGTGGAGTCCCCTGGAGTGGCGCCTTCATGGCACTGAATATAGGTGCCTGCCAACCCGCTGCCTCCTCAGTTCCTTCTTACCGCCAGTGACGGTCATTGGAACTGCAGTTGCTTGCTCTCACAAGTGCTCCCCTAGTTTGTAGTCTTAGCTTAGTTTTTGTAAATAGTTAAAGTTCTTAGTGTTTGTCAGTTATAGGAGTGGGGGCTTTCCTGTTCCCCTTTGGGGTTTGGGGCATGCCTCGATCCCAAGGGTTTAAGCCACGCGGAACCTCCCATAAGCCCATGCAAGCAGGTGACCCCCATGACTCTTGTCTCAAGTGTCTGGGGGAGGCGCACCAAACAGACCAGTGCAAGACCTGCAAAGGGTTCCGTCCAAGGATGAAGAAGGAGCGGGACTTCAGGCTCAAACAGATCCTGATGGAGACAGCTCTTCATCCTCAACCAGCCCCGGGCTGGCAGGATCTGGCACCGAGCTCCTCCGTGTGGAGTGCCCCGGCCTCTGTGCATGAGACAGCGCCGAGGAAGGACTCTGGCCATAGAGACACTCGGCTCTGACGTTCCCCAGCACCGAAGGCAGCGTGGCACTGCTCTCATTCCCTAATGCTGCATAAGCGGCACAGATGGGGGCGCTTACCCACACCGAGAGCTGCCGCATCGGACAGTGCTTCCGGAGTGCGTCCTACACAGGAGCACCTGGCGCCGACAGCACAGGAGCTGGCATCGTCAACTTCAGCCTTGCAAGAGGGGCCGTCGAGTCCAGTGCCAGTGGATTCTCCTGAGCATGAGTACCAGGTGGAGGACCTATAACTCCCCTCCACCCCAGACACTTTTGAGGCCGCTCAGGACTTGATTGCCATGATGGCTCCACAGTCCCCTGCCAGTCGGGATAGACCTCTGGCTCCGGAGCGATGATGAGGAGATCACCACCCCCCAGGCTTTGCTCCTCACAGCTCCGCTCCCACGGCACTGGTCTCCATCTCCATTCCCCAGCACTGTTGATACCGTGGCACTGTTCTTCAACCAGTCTTCGTCAGGCTCTAAGCAGGCCTTTTGAAGTTGCACCCGAGGACGGCGCACCAGTCGACGTACCGGATCCTCATCCCGGTTTCCTGAACCATCTGTCCCCAGTTCTATTGTGCAAAGGACCCAGTGGTCTGATGTTATCTGGGACCAAGCACAGTAAAAGTGGGATATTCTCTCAAATTCTGCTCCCACCGCCCCTTCCCCATCCCTCTTCAAGGACCCTTCTCATGAGCATCTCCTTATACAGGAGGCCCAAATGCTCCTCGACTCGGGCAGTGGAGGAGGTTCCTCAGGAGCTTAGGGGCAAGGGATTCTGCCCCCGTTATTTCCTAATCCCCAAAGCAAAGGGGGATCTAAGATCCATCCTCGACCTGCGAGGCCTCAACAGCTTCATGAAAAAGCTGAAGTTCTGCATGGTTTCCCTAAATACGATTATCCCCTCTCTGGATCCAGGAGACTGGTACGCCGCCCTCATCCTCAAGGATGTGTACTTCCACATCTCGATACATCCTGCCCACAGATGTTTCCTCAGGTTCATGGTCAACCACAACCATTACCAATTTATGGTCCTCCTCTTCGGCCTGTCTATGGCACCACTAGTGTTCACCAAGTGCATGTCGGTTGTGGCTGCCTTCCTCCACTGGACGCAGGTGCAGGCATACCCGCACCTTGACGACTGGCTGTGCAGGGG